TAGAGTGCTTGCCTTGCATGCACAAATCCCTGTGTTTAATCCCCAGCACCTCAAAAAACAAATACTGGTTTTGACATTTACAATTTTGTGATTTGGGGGAAGTCTTAATCCCTCTTCAGTTTTCTTATCTGTCAAATAGATATAACTTTACTATTTCATATTAGAATATTAGAAAAACATAGAACAGTACATCATAGTCCTTAAATGTAGCTATTTTTACTATTTACAAATTGAGACAAAAGCATTTTATTTTTCCCAAATCTAACTCCAATTCAATTTTATTCAATTCAACTCAATATTTCTTTTTGAATTGCTTACTATATTCCAAGTATCAAGTTAAGCTTAGGAGAAAAATGATGCCAAAACGTGATCCTTGTCTTCATAGAATTTATAGTTTAGTGAGAAGGCAATGAATAATCACACAAATAAGTATAAATATGAACCACAAGAAATGCTATGAATTACAAGTAGAGGGTGGCATGAGAGGAGAATATCAATCTAGTCTTCCTTAAGAAAGCAATAATTGAAAGGTACATATGAGTTTGGGGAAGTTGGAGAAAGATTTTTGGGCAGAGGGCTCAAGTGCAAAGACTCTGAAATGGGAAAGAACTTGGTGACTTAGGAAATAAAAATGGGCCAATATGGCTGAGTTACAGTGAGAGAGGAAGAAATGAAGTTCCCTGACATGAGTCTGGAGAGTTACACACGGACCACATCATACAGGACCTTGCAAGACGGAAAGCATCTGAAGAATTAAGTTCTTGGAAGTCGGGTTGAGGACTTTGGATCAGGGTGGTAGTGTTGGACAAGAGAGAAGTGAACAGAGTTAGAGATTTGGTAATAGGGAAAGAGTCAATCATTTGTCCTGCTTTTCTGTATTCATAGTACCACTAAGTAAGCAAATAATTGAAAAGGAGAAAATTCCCATTGAAGAATCATTGTCGCTAATAAATGAAGAATGATAGAACTATATCACCATTTAAAAACTCCTTATGTATGGGCTAGGATTATTGCTCAGCGGTAGAGTGCTTGCCTCACACACATGAGGCACTGGGTTCAATCCTCAGCACCACATAAAAATAAATAAAATAAAGTAAAGATATTGTGCCCATCTTAAAAAAAATCCTTTAAAAAATCTCCTAGTGTATGAATGGATCTAGGCATTACTCGTGGGTGATTGCTAAAATTACAAAAAGAAAAAAGAGAGACACATTTTATCTCTTCTAATGGAAAAGTACTCTACCACCTATGAAGTAATCTTGCTAAGAATTAAAATCAAATCTGACAAAACATCTAGATCCCACTAACTATTTACAAAAATGCAAAGGATAAGAGAATATGTTAAATACACTGTAGGGATGCAGCCAACAAAATCTAGATTGTGGCAAATACTACAGGACAAAAACCTGGTCCCTAAAAAGTGACTGGGGGGAAAAGAGAAGAAAAAACATATAGGTCTTAAAAGATATATCATCCAAGCCATAGTATAGCTCCCCAACAAACTAAAATAATAATATACAATAAATATATACAGTAAAACTAAAATAATAATATACAGACAGAAAGCAAATAGGTTAGTGATTGCTTAAGGAGTTGGGGAAAAATTGGTAGTAACTGCTAATGGGTATGGTTGCTTTGAGGGGGATGAGAATGTTAAAAATTTGACTACAATGATCGTTTTACAACTCCCTGTGAATATACGAATAACCATTGAATTGTGTATCTTAAGTGGGTGAATTTATTGTATGTGAATTATATCTCAATAAAGCTGGCATATGTATATTGTGTATACATTATAAACTATGTAGATATGTGTACTATGCATAACATATTACAGGTACTAATATATATTTTTAAAAAAGAAGATATCTGAGGAAAGAGGGGAAATTGGCCAAGGTATGGAGGATTTCTACACAGAGGGACCAATATATGCAATGCAAGAAAGAGCATGGCATTTTAGATGTGATAAAAGGAACTCTATGAATGGCATATTCCTTAAAGGAATATATCAAGAGATGAAGCTAAAGACCTAGGAAAAGCTCAGATTGTGGAGTATTGCAAAACCCATGCTAAGGATTTGGGACTTTATTCAGAAAACAATAGGAAGCCATTGTTAAGTGAAATGATTTCTATGCAGTACAACTCTGATTACCATATACATAATGAGGATAAGAGGGAATTTATTTAGGAAACCAGATAAGTGTTATTATAATTCTCTGTGCACACACTTTTGCCGTCTTATTTTAGAATGGTGACAATAAGAATGGGCAAATTCAACAGGATTTGTTTGCTGATGGATTGGAATTGAGATGCAATAGAGTAGTAAAGTAGCAAAGCTGACTTACCTAACTGGGGGGATGGTGAAATGGTAACAAGGGGAAGAGATGCAAGTAAGGGAAGGAGATTAATTTTTGTACTTGAAAGGATATAATACTGAAGCAAGACTGACTTTTACAATAATGAGTTCTCCTCATTGAAATAATTCAAGGCAGACTAGTGATCTTCCTGTTGAGTAGAAAGCATTCTTGATCTGAAATGTTTCGGACTATATAACTAATAATAACCATTCAGCAATAATGGTCTTACCAAAAGAAAGTGACATTTGTGCCAGAATCTGGTCCCTAAAACAGCTTGTGGCTGAAATGAAACCCCTGGAATTTCCCTGGAATTTGAATTCCTCAGAATCATCCACATCAGATTAATATTTAAATTTTCCTCATACTATCTAGTTTGTTTGTTTCACCTGTGTACAGGCTTCTGATTTCACTAAATCTTCCCAGAGGTGTTATTTAACCTAGTGTCAAAGAAAGGTGTATGTATTCCAGCAACCCAAAGACAAGTCTCTGCTAGCTCAGGAAGAAAAACAGTGGGAGGCTGCAGAAGCCACAGAAACTGACTCTGCCCAAAGTCAAAATAGAGAAGAGGACTCCTGCAATAGTTAATCTACTTTGTGTTTTTTCTCGCACCCTCTCCAAGCATCTAGCACTTTGCCCTTAAGGACCCAACAACCATTTGTTGGTTTAATAAGAGTCTTCAGACTTGGAGTTGGGTGTGGAATGGGAGAATGATAAAATTTTTATATGTAAAATGATAAATAGTAAAAGCACAAAAAGGATGGAAAGATAGAAGAGACAAGAGATTAAGAAAGCATTTTTTGTGTTAATGTTAGTACTGCAGTGAAAGGCAACTGCCACCTCAGTCCCTTGAGACACAATTAGTGAAGACTTGCCTAATGGTCTTTTATTGACTGTCCTGTTAAATGCTCTAGGAGAGGCAGACTGGATTTATTTGACTACTTTATTCCCATCAGATTCTTCCCCAGTTGTTTACCTGGTACATCCATTTTCACCCAAACTCCATCAGGGCCTGGACCTCAGGCACCTTCCTGAACCTTGGTGGGTAAGCATTCTGCCTTCTTTCCCTTCCCCTTCTTCAAATCTCAGCGCAGAACTGAGCCTAATTTACATCTTTCTGATTTTACCCATCTGTAAAATGGGAATAATAAAAATGATGGTGGGAATAATACTAAAAACCTCTAAGTTGGGTTACAGCAAAAATTAGATAACATAAACTTGAATACTTGTTGGAAACTACAAACTATAAACATCTTGGTTTTATTGCATTTATTTCTAAGGCAGATTTCATTGGTTAAAATTAGGATGCTTGGGTGTTTGGCTGCTTGTCTCTCTGGAGAGGATTAATGTGAGATGTTGCCATGTGTTTCAGAAGAAAAATCCACTCATTTCAGCGGACGTCAACCTACCTTACACAAAGTCTTTGGAAATAAGTCTTTTGGCTTAAAAGCTGGAGGTGTGAGAGAACCAAGTATGCAAATGCAGAACAGCACGTCTCAAGAGCTCGGCTCCAGCCCGCACCCTGGCACCCTGCCTGCTTCCCAGCAAACGCGGCGGGCGCGCTGCTACCTGCTACCCAGGCCCCCCATAATCTCCGGGTTTGGGTCCACAACACATACCTGACAGGCTTAGGGAATTAACACGATTGATTTTGCAGGTGACCAAGAACTCTGAAACCGCCCCCCCACCCCAGTAGGCGATACCAATCAGTTCGAGGTGACCCACACATTTCCTCCCCAAAAGGCCAGAGAAGTAAGCGAAGGTGTAATAAAATGATAGATTCACGATTGTGGGGGGAATAAGCAATAGGTTGTGGGTTTTTGTTGATTTTCTTTTGCAGCCGCTCTAGGTGTCCCTGGAACAAGGACTTGGTAGACCATTTTCCTAGTCATTTCAAGACTACACTTCCTGCCGGGTCGATCAGGAAATTGTCAGAACACCCTTTGGGCGCTAGGAGGATGCTGAAGGAGCCCAGGCAGTTAGTGAATCGAAGATACCGTAAGGGGGTCGCCGTCCGCCGGGTAAGCGGGCACGGGAGGTTCGCGGGTTCTCCGCGCCTCTCCCCTTGGCGCCGGGTTGCTCCTTGGCAGGCCTCAGTTTTCCACTTGTGAAAAATGGCCACACTACCAGTTCACCAGTTTTTGGCCTCGCTACAGAAAACCACCAGAGAAAACCGGAGTTTCTTTCGTTCTTAGTTCAAAGATTAACAAAATAAAAAAGTAATGCTTTTCTCAATGTAAGAGGGGAGCCGGATGAAAGGGCGGCTTTAAGAAAGGACAAACTGGTTGCGATTATGGCGCTTTTTTCATATAATTCTGCACGTTTACATATAGGCATAAGCGCACAGGCAGTGTCAAGATTGAAGGTGTTTCTGTGTCAGGCTGACTCCACCGAGCAAGAAGAACCAATACCTCACAGCTCAAGTCCCGGGGACCTGGAGGTCCTTTTCTGCGCTTGCGCAATAACCGCGGGTTTCCCCCAACCTCACCGCCCCCCGGTCCCGCCCCGATATCGTGCGGCCCCGCCCACTTCCCCAGCCCGGCCGTTCGCGCAGAGCATTGTGGGACACAAACAAAGTGCCCCCAAACAGGCTGGAGTGAGCCGAGCGGCAACGGCGGCGGCGCCGGCCCGCACGCGCGCGGCGGCGGCTCCCTCCCAACCTTCCCCTCCCCTTCCCTCACTCCCCTTCCCCTTCCCCACCCCGCCCCGCCGGGAAAACGCGAGCCGTCGCCGCGCTCCCCAAACCGCCGCCTGCCCTCGGCCAACCGCCCCAACGGCCGCCCGCGCGCGGCTACCCGCGCCCCCTCGCTCCTCCCCTTAGGCCCCTCCGGGAGCCGGAGGTGCTTTCCTCGTCTCCGCCTCGCGCTCTCCCACCTCGCAGGCACGCCGGTGGGCTCTGCCGCCATGCCCCAGCCACAGGCTGCTCACGGGCCTAGGCGCGGCGGCCCGAGATAGGGTGCCCTGAGCCTCCCGGGGGAGGAGAGGGAGCCAGCCGCGCGCTCCGCCCCCTCCCCCCGGGCTGTCGCCGCCACCGCCACCGCCGCCGCCACCTCGCCGCCTCAGCCTGGCGGGGAGGAGCAGCAGCAGGCCTCCGGGCCCCGGCACCGCCGCCCGCAGGTAATGGGGAAGGGAAGGCGAACGGGGGGATGACTAGCCACTGCGCGCCGCTGGTGCACTGGGGTGCTCCCGCCTGGGAAGTGCCACCACGCGTCGCCCACCTGGGCGCAAGAGGGAAAGGAAAACCTGGTCTCTGACCCGCATCCGCGCCGGGAGACACTCCTCAGGGTCCCCCCAGTGACATTTAATCCTTCAGGGAGAAGGCTGGCCTTGAGCCCCGCAGTCCAGGAGCAATTACCCCGATCTTTAAGGGGTATTCATTTGTAAGCTTATCTGCCCAGTACCAAACCCAAAGCAGGCGGAGGTGTTAATCCCTCTCACCTCACCTAGTCGACCTGCAAGCCTAAGACCTGTTTGTTGGCTCCTCTCCCCTGCTGCTTTTTCTCTTAATAGTTGAAAGAAAAATATGGCACTTATTTTAAAAAGAAAAAAAAAATGCAGACACCTTTTTCTTCCCTACCTGAGGATCACTCTACATCTTATCATTTTACTGCCAGTCTAACCAGAAAAAGGGATTGCCTACAAGTGAAATGAGTTCGTTAAAATTGATGAAAAGCAATTTGCATGTTTGTAAATTGTATGAACCTTAACCAGAATTTAGTATAAAAGCCAATGACCGTGTACTTTTTTGGAACTTATAGAAATGAAGAAAAACTTATTTTCGATTTCAACATATAAGTAGATTATCCGTTGAGGTTAGGGAAAAAAACTCTCCTTAACTTCCACTTATTTTCTTAGTGTTTTGTTTGAAGATAGGCTAATACTAATACCAAAACCAAACCATACAGTATAATAGATACCAAGAGTTTGGATTGGTAGGGATTTGACGATTTCTTTTCCTAGGGTTTCAGTGGAATTATTAAATTTTTTTAAAAAAAGAATCTTCATTTTTTTCCCATTACTTTGACTTCGAGTGGATATTTAATTTTATCTAATGTTGTTTCCCCTTTTCATGGAATGTGAAAGTAATTAATCTTTTTCAGTAGCCTTACATTTAAGGATGATTACATCCATTAATTATGAAAGTTGGATTTACTTATTTGTGCAATAGGGCTAGGTTTTACTTATGTAATCTTTAATTCTCAGAACGACCCAATGATGCAGATTTGTTACTTGAATTTTACAGATGTAAAAGAAACTTAGTAATGTTAAGTAATTTGCCTTAGGTCACACAAGTAGTAAGAGCTAAGATTTAAGCCCAGATATAATTCCAGGGTAGGTGTACTTTCCTCTGTACCTCTCAGTAGAGGTATAGTTTCTTTTAACTTTGTCATGAAAATTTTCCGTTTTATAGAAGTTGGGGAGGGGGGACGGGAAATACATGAATACCCCAGAACCTAGATTCAGTGATAAACATTTTTATCGTGTTGTTACCCTCTCTTTCTTTCCCTGTGATGTGTTGTGTAACCATTCCAAAGTAAGTTGGAAACGTCTCCACCTTTAAATACTTCAGCATTTTCTAAGAATACATTCATCTACTAACCCTGATCAGTAACAATACCTATCAAATAGCATATTCAATTAATGTATTCACATTTCCTCAATTGTTCCAAAGTGTCTTTGAGCCACCCCCCAACCCTTCAAGATTTTGTGTTTGGTGATTAAGACTAGTCCCTTCTGTAAAAAGTATAATACTTACTCTTTCATTTTCCTGACATCTACCTGACCAAACCAGATGTATAATACACCCACATTCTGGACTGCCCATGTCCCAGTGGTGTTATTTCATTTATTCCTCTTTCCCCTTGAAATTTCTGTTAACTGGAAGTTTGATCTTAAGAAAAGCTTGATTAGCTTAAAGTAAAACTTTCTTTGGCAAGAGTATTTAATAGGTAATGCTGTGTACCTCAGGTTGCATCATATAGGAAATATATAATGTCAGATTGCTACACTGTTAATGATGTTAAATGTGACCAGTTGATTGAAGTGGTGACTACCAAATCTGTTGTAAAGGTGTGTGGTTTGTCATTTTGTGGTTAGTATGTAACCGAAGGGTAATACTTTGACCCCAAGCAAATATCCTATTTCTGACTACATTTTGCTTAGTAATATTTAGCATCCATTAATTGCTTTTGCTTAAATCAGTTTATTGGTATTTCTCTGTAGGAAAGATTTACTCCATAAAGTGGGAATAAGCTAAATTTTCTTGTAAAAATGCATATTAAATGCTTGCTTTCATCACTTCAGCATTCAGAGTAAAGAGCTGAGAAAATAGTCACCCCCATGGTGGCAAATAGATTTTCTTTAGTATTTTTGGAAAAGATACTACTATGGATTTGTGGGGTTTTTTTTCCCCATTGTTTGAGAACCATTATAATTCTTTCTCTTTTGGGTGACCAAATTGTCCCAAATTTGATAGTAGAAACCCTTTCAAGCTGGCTGCTGGCACAAGATATCACATGCTTCTTTTGTACTTTGTTTGCTCCACATCTGGCAAGGGCTGTTTATTCAAGGTGTCTTGGGTCTTTTTAGTGAGAAATAGCACATAGAAACCAAGATCTGTGTATTTGGCATATAGATTGCTGCTAAGGTGTCATTTCTTCTAGGCCCTTTGAGAAGAAAGAATTAAGAAATGGTTTTCTGCTTGTTTGTTTAATCAGAATTTCATAATGATATATCCTATTCAAATTTAGCATAGCAGAATTTTTCTTCTTTGATTCTGTTTTTGTCTTTTTGTATTAAAATCTTGCTACCAAATTAAATTAATATGCTTATTTGCTTTCTACTGTATACATAAAATCATTTTTAAATTACAATACCTGTATTACTGCTTCTGAGTGAAGTTGGGGATTTTTTTTGCATTTCTTTTTGTCCCTGAAATATATTACACAAAAGATGTGTAATCAGTACTATTTCCAAAGTCACTTAAAATACTTTTCTCTGGTCATACTATCAACTTGATATGATTCATTGGTTTCATATTTGAGGGGGGGGTTATTTTTGAATTTGTAAAATATATACACAGCTCAAAAATCAAAATAATGTTTCCAGGTATACTTTTTAAAAAATTTACTCAAATTAGGTGAGTTTTTTTTTTCTTCAGATTTTAATACAAAATTTATTTCTTGCATAGTCCATCAGCAAGTTAGATCAAAGAGCTGTCAGATTATTTTTTTAGAGCATTAATTATATATAGTATTTTGATCATTTTGACAAAATAGTACATGCAAGGAATTTGATTTCAATCCCATTTCTCCCCCCTTTTCCTTTCCTTCCTCCCTCCCCCTCTTCTCTTCTGCTGACCTTCCTTTCCCTCATTTATTTTTGATTGGTATTTTCTGCACACGTGTTTGTGCGTGCGAGCGTGTGTGTGAATACATACAGGTAATTCTTCTTGGTTCATTTATATATGTATGTAACAAGCTATTATTTAATTTGTTCCATAGTTCTACCCCTTTCCCTTCTTTCCTTCCTCCTCCTTGTTCTCCTTCAAATTAGTTTTTTAAGGTAAAATATTCTTTTCTTTTGCCATACTCCTTTTAATATCTACTTGCATATTTTAATTGTAGAAGGTTGAGCCATAAACAAGGTATAAAACTTAAAGCCATGTAGTAGTGCTTTTAAATTAGATTCTGATTCTTCTGGCAAAGAGAAAGCACAAAGACTAATCTTTAGAAGTTAGAGAAATAGATTTCATGCTTTTGCAGATGTCATGTTTTAAATAAAAATTCCATAAAAGTAGAACTGCAACTTTTACTTTGCAGTCAGGTCTTTAAAGAGACATGTTAATTGGTAGAGGTTTTATGAATCCATATACTTTTATGCCACACAACAAAACTGGTACACATATGCTAGCTGCAAAAATAAAGGCATTTAGATGTGTGATCAGTGAAGATAACACATTTTGTTTGGAATGAACCAAATTTGATAGAAATCACAATTATATGGTCTCAGATACTATGTTTGGATGGTTTTAAGAGGGAGCACTGGTTGTCTGAAGCAGGCAGAACACAGGTTTATTGACCTCCTGTCAACCACCTGATGAAAAGCCCACAGTGTGAATGTATTCTGTGTTCATCATCACTGCTTTTAGTACCAGAATGAGCATCTGTTTCCTTCAGGGAGTAGAATGGGATGATGGAGAATACATGTGCTTTATACCTATTCACCCTCATTCTGTCTTTAATTTCAGTAATATAGACACACCGAGATTGTTGGAATAAATAAGGTTGATTTTAAAAACGGTACAAACATTTACAAGGGTGTGTAGCCATGCAGAAGCTAAAAAGCCTGTTGTGGTTGACTAAAATATGGTGATGATTATAATTATATTTGTTGTGCCTTTTCTATAAACCAGGTATGCTAAACATGTTATACATTATCTCAGTTAAATCTCACATTAACCCTTCCATATTGCTACTAGTATCTTATCATGCGAGTAGGGAAAGTGATACCTTGAGTAGATTAAATGACTTGCCCAGGGTATCTCATCTAATAAGTAACCAACCCATGTTTCAAACTCAAGTCTGTCTTCAGAGTTAGCACTTGGCTGCTATCTACACCTCACACTAAATGTGACAAGTTGTAAAATTGAATATATTTCAATCACGATGAATAGGAACCACATAACTGATGTATATTCTGTAGGAAAACTGAAATCAACCTTACATTTGTCATGTCTATTACACATATTTATGTTTTCCCTTCTAAGATATATGAGAGTTCCTGGTCCCCTGCTACAAGAACTGCATTTTAGATCACGTTTTAATAGATGTTTTTAAAGTATCAAAAAATAAAAAGTAAAGTAACAAAAATCAAGATGAATTGATGAAGGGGTAGATGAGTGATAAGACAAGTAGGGTATAATAGAATGTAAATAATAGCATATAGATATGGTTGTTTAGGCATAACAATATTGACAGCTGTTTAATAAAACAGTCAATGTCCTGTATTCTGTCAGCAATTATCCTCTGAAACTCCTAGTAAGTCTTCCTAGCCTTATAAAGAATAAAACAACTTTGTCACTGAAAAGACTGTTGTAAAAGGGGTTCCCTCATTAA